GGCTTCTGGAAATGGTAAGCATTGCTCATTGCAATCTTTCAATTTTCTATCCATTACCACCTTTTTATATATATCTTAGTTCTTGTGTGTTTGTGAGTGAGAGAGCGAGAGTGAGAGCGAGAGAGAGCTTGTGTATTGATTCTCCCTTTTATAAATAAACTAAACTAATTTGGAACCTGCTTTTGGAGTACTCCGGGTTCAGAACTGGCATACAAAGACTTAAGATCTCAGCTTTCCATTACTGAAGCCCTCTCGCTGCTTCCTATTGAACAAATCAATTTCCCCATTGAATACAGTTTGTGGGTGTTCTCTTGGAAGCCCCTGCAATTAACAGCAGTCCTGATTAATTCTCTGCTGTCCCACTTTTTCATCTGCTCTCTCCCCATTTTCCCCCTTTGTCCTTAGCTTACTTTGGTGGTTGTAGAGATCCAATTCAAGGGACCAGAGAGGAGAGAATGGAATGTACTTTTCCTCAGGCAAAACTGCTACAGCCTCTTCTAGCTTGTCTTCTGTTCATCTTCACTAATATTGGAGTTTATCACATGGGGAGCCCCGTGCAGAAACGGGGCTTTAAAGTAAAACAAAACACAAATCCCCCCCAAAAAAACAAAAAACAAAAAAGTGGAAGCTTTCAATGAATGGGATTTCTCCCGTTCTGCCCTGTGTGAAAAGTGAAAGCACTGTTAAAAGGAGGTTAATCCGAATGGAAATTAGACAAACACTGCTTCTTTTTACTTTTGGGATCTTCCGAAAATAAAAAGAAGCAGTTTTTGTCTAATTTCCGTTCGGATTCACCTCCTTTTAACAGCGACGTCGTCTGAAAAAACACCCGCTTTTGTGGGTTTTGTTTAATTTAAAGCCCCGTTTCCGCATGGGATTTCCCCCATGTGATAAGCTCCAAAGTTTGGAGCTATCTAGACCACAGTCTGATGTTGCTTGGTCAAATTGTCCTGGTTCTCATCTGTGAAATGGAGGGTATGCATTCAACACAAGGCTTGTGTTAACACAGTTAATGTATAACTCTGCGGCACAACATTGATACAGGATCTTGCCTGTGACTGCTAATTAGAAGCTGAGGTCATGAGGACGCTCTATGAATTCTTTCCAAACCTCTGCCCAGGTCAATAAGTGAAGCACTGTCTTGCATCTGTACTTGGCTCAAGAATTTGTGGAGCTTTGGAATGCTTTCCACTCCCCATTTTTCGGTCCTTTAATTTGAAAAATTTCCAAAACCCATACTATTAACCCATCGATTTCTTTAAAATTATCTTCTATATCTCTTCACCTGAGATCATCTGTCATACTAGAAACAGAGAGTTCAACAAAAGTAATATGATATAAAACACCTCTTGGGCTGCAACCACAATGGCAAATTTGTAAAAGGCAATGCTTGTTTGAATATACACATGGATGCAGTTACTCTCTCTTCAATTAAGTTAGAGATATCAAATCCTTGGTGTTTATGTATATGTCACTCTATACTTTTGTTTTGAGGGCTGCATCTGCACTG